CCCCCAAAGAAAACTTTCCTTACACTTAGGTTTTCCTCAAATTATCGGGAAAAGGTTTCTTATTCTCAATTACGGTCGACACAAGGGGGCAAAAACTCCGAATTTAAGTTCACACATGATCCCCGGAATCCATGATTTCCGTTGATTCCCATTGATTCCCGTCCTGATTTTCATTGATTCCCGTTGATTTCCGTCGCGATTCTCATTAATTCCCGCTAATTCCCACCGTGTTTTCCGGGCCGTTGTACACATGATTCCCAGAGTTATTGATCCCTCCGGGTAGACATGTCATTCAATCAAAGAAACCATTTTCTGGGTGCACCTCCCACCCTGGCCAGTCCACTCCTGTGTTCAGTCCAGTCAGTGTACCGGGTGTAAATACGCAGCAAGGTTGCGGGATTGTATCCTCAATATGGCCGCAGGGGCCATGGCCCCTTACGGGTGTAAAGAGTAGACAAACCCGCAACACTGCTGGGTATTCACAGTCACACCCAGTACGCCAAAGGTAGGGTGGCCCACGGCAAGAAAAATATCAAACCGGCGGTTCCCATGCTCTATGGGCATTCCAAAACCACCCCGTACCTCTCGATCGGACCCCGGGAACCACTCGCTGAAGGTCTTTGGACTTTAACATGGGTATATTATGGGCTTATGGGTGTAAAATAAAACAATGAACCTGTAGCGCCAGAAAGCCACCATAGAGCAATATAATTAGGAAATTCGTAATCTACGTTAAACTTTGAGTTTTCCTTCATTTTTTAAAATATGGAGATTTATGAGTGGTAGGTAATAGAGGTAATTCATCAAAGTGGAATCCTGTGACCTAATTTTTTTCCGTTTTGCTCTACACACTAAATGTATTTGTAGTTTTTTGTGCAAACATTTGCACAAAGTTGCGCATACATTTTGACTCGCACGAATTTGTGCGCAAATATGTACGAATTTGTGCATACGTATGCATAAAAACATGCACTTCTTCGCACAAATTTGTACGAATGGAATGTATGCGCAACTTTGTACAAATAAAACCTACAAATCTCTTAGTGTGTATCTTATAACGTTATAACGTTGAGGGGCTAGGGTGTTTTTGACGAAAGTAAGCGGAAAAATTACAAACTTGGATGCAAAGTAGCAGAAAGCCCCCCCCAACAATTTCTGAAATGTACCATCTCATCGGGGGCGTACCACAACCCTAGAAATCAATAAAAAAACATAATTTTTATACGTCAATTTGGCTAACACGAAACTGGCCGGCCCACAGTCTTGTTGACATATTCTCTACAACTCGACTAGAGTGTCAACGCCGCAGGCCTACGTAGATGTATGCCAGAAGCGTCGCGATATCGAGAAGCCTGTTTCGCGAGACGTGGTCTTGCGTACATCTACCTTGTACGACATACCAGGTGGCTGATTAACCCCGCACACTTTTGTACTGCTATGCAACCCGCCCGCACGGCTCCATCCGGGACTGCATACCCAACAGGCGCTGGGGACCGGCTCCAAGCGCCAGCGCGTCGCTCCGCCACTGTTGTTCTGTTGCCGTTGGAAGCGATGGACCGCAATTCCGGCAGCGGCCCTGCTTCTCGACACCCCGGGACCCCCCCCCTAACCCCACCCTCCCTACGTCACCCAACCCCGCGGCCACCCTCGCCGTCGCCTATATGTGCCCAGCAACACCCTCTACCCTCTATG